CATGTATAGATGTACAATTAATTTATGACAAAAAAGCCAGGAATATACAATGGGGAAAGAACAGTCTCTTTAATTAATGGTTCTGGGAAAACTGGGCAGTCACAAGCAAAAGAATGAAACTGGACCTCTATCTTACAGCATACACAAAAATTAACTCAAAACGGATTTAAGACTTGAACAGATAACCTGAAACCATAAACCCCTAGAAGAGAATATAGGTGGTAAACTCCTTGACATGGGTCTTGGCAATAGTTTTTTGGATTTGATGACAAAAGCAAAGGCAATGAAGGCAAAAACAAACTAATGAGACTATATTCATACTAAAAATCTTTACTACAAAAGAAACTAATGACAAAATGAAAAGGCAACATACTGAATGAGAGAAAATATTTGGAAATCAAATATCTAATAAAAGCTTAATATCAAAAATATATAAAGAATTTATACAGCTCAATAGCAAAACAAAGGACAATTTGATGCAAAATCTAGGCAAAGAATCTAAATAGATGTTTTCCAAAGAAGATATATAGATGTCTTCTGTATGTCTTCCAACAAACAGGTACATGAAAATATGCTCTACATGACAAACCATCAGGGAAATGCAAATCAAACCCACAGCAAGTTATCACCTCACACCTGTCGGAGTGTCTGTTATCAAAAACACAAGAATAACAAATGCTGGCAAGGATGTGGAGAAAAGGATACCCTTGTGCCCTGTTGTGAGAATGTAAATTGGTGCAGCTGCCATGGAAAACACCAAGGAGCTTTCTCAAAAAATAAAAAAGAGAACTACCACACAATCTAGCAACACCATTTCTGGGTATGTATCCAACAACAATGAAAACACTAATTTGAGAAGATATCTGCACCCTCATATTCACTGCAGCATTACTTACAAAATCCAAGGCACAGAAACAACTGAAGTGCCCATCAATGGGTGAATGCATCAAGAAAATACAATGTATATATACAATGGAATGCTACTGTGTCATAAAAAACGGATGAAATTTTGCCATTTGTGACAACATGGATTGACCTTGAGGGTATTATGCCAAGTGAAATAAACCAGACAAAGACAAATACCATATGACCTCACTTACACTGTGGGATTAAAAACAAACAAAAAAAATCCAAACTCACAGATTCAGAGAAGGTGGTTGCCAAAGGTGGAGACTGAGCAGTGGATAAATGGGTCTGCAGCCTGACACTTTACCCTCTGAGCCACCAGGGAAGCCCAGATAAATGGATGGAGAGGGTCAAAACGTATAAACTTTCAGTGAAAGATAAATAACTCACAAATAGATATTTAAAGTATTGCATGATGACTAGTCAATAATTTGTTGTTGTTTAGTTTCTAAATTGTGTCTGATGGTTTGCAACCCATTGGACTGTAGCCCGCCAAGCTCCTCTGCCCATAGGATTTTCCAAGCAAGAATACCGGAGTGAGTTGTTGCCGGGAGCCAGCACACGAGATTCTACCCGTGACAAGGTCATGAGGGAGAAAACCTGATGGGCAAGGCGGATCAGGTTTTCAAGGATTCCGAAAAGGCTAGCTCACGAGATCCCACCCATGACAAGGTCATGGGGAGAAAGCCTGACGGGCAAGGCGGATCAGGTGTTCAGGGATTCCAAAAAGCTGCCCCAAAGCTGCCCCCGGAGCTCACCTTAAAGATGACATTTGTTCTTCTGATGCTTGCTTTAATAGACTACTCCCTAAGTTCTGTAACATAGGCAGAAGGCCTTCCCCGATCTCTTTCCAAGTAAGAATCAATTTAGAACTTTAATCAATAAGTTTCCCAGGTGGTGGTATTTTATGAAATTATCCAGGGTGAAAGGAGCGTTTTAATTTAAACTCCTTTGCTGGTATTTTAGTTTGTTTGGCAAATGCATTTATGCCCTTAGTACTAATATGCATGATTGCTTATAATATCCTAATCATAAAATAGCATGAAGAACCTGATTATATAAAAGCCCTAATAGACATAGAGACTTTTAAGGGGTAAAGGAGTCCTATTAGAAAACATAAGAAAAATTATTCTGTAGGTGGATATTGGGTTGAGATTTGCTTGCTGTGTTTTGCTTGCTGTGTTTTTGCTTTTAATGTGCTAAGGTTGTGTTATAGAAACCATTGTTAATATAGTTAAAGATCTAGAGAAATAAGAACTTAGCCCTAGTGTGGTAACAATGAGATGGTTGCTAATTGTCAGCCAGTGCTAGACAGAGGCTGTCTCACTGAAGCCGCAGAGTCTGTGTGGGGTAAACTTCTTAGATAAATACAACTGACAACTTCTGCAGAAGGATTAATTTTTGTGTTAACAAGGTTATACTTCTACTCTGTACTGTTGCCCTGTGAGACTGCTACCTTTCAGTTAAGGTCACCAGAGAAACAGAAAATAGGTTTACATTCACCTGACTTGCATAAAATGTTAATGGGCCCCAAGGCCAGAAGATAATGTACAAGACCCTCATAAACAAAGAAGTATGCAGAAAACACCCTGGTTTTGTGAAGGACAAGCTGACGTAATGTTAAACTGTCTTCCCCTTAGAAATGTACTAACTTAGGGTATAAAAGCTATGGTAAAAAATAAAGGATTGCCAGACTCTGCCAAACTCTCTGCACCCCAGTCTGGTCATTCTCTCTATATCTCTCTCTCTCTTTTTTTCTCTTTCTCTCCCTCGCAGACTGGGCCCTATCAAGGCCGGTCTCACGTGTCTTCTATCTCTCGCCGACGCCGTTCATCCTGAGGGTACCCCCTGGATCCTGCCGAGGCTGGACCCCAGCAAGTGGTGCCACGAACAGGGAACCCAAAGGTAATCCCCCCCATTGTTCAGTCTTCGGGACGGCTAGGACCCCACTAGGGTGCCGCGGGCCCCCCTGCATAAAATAGGTAGGGTGAGGAAAGTGGCTAGGCTTTAGGTTTTAGAACCCCACTAGGACGTTACAGGCCCCCCTACATAAGAAACGTAGGGTAAGAAAGGTGGGTACGTTTCAGGTTCTTTCCTTCTTCTCTAAATTAAGCCTCTTCCTTTTTTCTCTTTTTTTCTTCTTCTAATTAGTAACAAAAATGGGTAAGAGTGAGCCAAAAGAAAGACAGCTTTTTATTGGAATCATAATGCAACTCCTTAACCGCAGAGAAATTAAAGTTAAAAAGACCAGTGTTCAGTCCTTTTCTACCTTTGTCCAAGAAAAATGTCCTTGTTTTCCAGAAGAGAGCCGTTCTCCTGGGTTCCCTTATCCTCCTGCTCTCCACCCCAGTGCTCTTTCCAATGAGATCTCTTGCTTTGTCAGCACATGGTCTCCTCCGACAATTCAAGAGCTCAGTTTCAGGCCCTGGAAGGGGTCCCCCTTCCCGCAACAAATTGTCATTTCCTTCTCAAGGCGATTTTCCCTACTCAGGGATTAAACTCTCATTTTCTGCCCTGGCAGGGGATTCTTTACCTCTGAGCCACCTGGGGAGTTTAGTCAGTAATAATACAGTGTGGTTAAAAAAGAAAGTATTTTAGAATACTTTGTATCTACAGAGAATCTCTGAAGCTAGGACGCAGCTCCTGCAAACCCATACCCCTGTGATCAACATCTTGCTTCAGTGTGATACATTGTAACAATTAGTGAATCACTATTTTTTTTTTCCCCCCCCTCTGGACCCATAAAAAGTGTTTATCCCTTGACATTCATTGATGTGAAACAGGTAGGGCTTCAGAGGTAATGCTTTAATTTTTTTTCTACCCTCAAAAATATGTGCTTTCTACACTACCTGTTCTTTTTTTTTTTTTCATTTATTTTTATTAGTTGGAGGCTAATTACATCATTTCAGTGGTTTTTGTCATACATTGAAATGAATTAGCCATGGATCTAATGAGCCATAGTTTACTAGATGCCCTTGGTTCTCCTCTAATGTTGTTTTTCTGTGGCATTTAGTCTAATCGTCATGCCTCCTTAGGCTCCTCTTGGGTGTGACAGTTTCTCGGATTTTTTTCTGATGAGCGACACAGTTGTGAAGAGTCCCAGGCAGGTGCGTTGCAGGCTGTCCCGCTCCTGGAATCTTCCGGTGCTTTTCTCATGGGTGGAGGCTGAGTCACAGGTGGGGAGGGAGCCCATAGAGGTGACACCCCATCCTCGTCTCACCCCATCAGGAGCAGAACTGTCCACTCCACTGACCACTGTGCTGTCGACCTTGACCTTGGTAGGTTTCTCACTGCAGAGCTACTGCCAGACATCCGGCTGAGCTTTTAAAAGTGTGTATATATATATATAATTTATTTATTTATTTGGCTACACCAGGTCTTAGTTGGGGCATGTGGGATCTAGTTCCCTGACTAGGGATAGAGCCTGGGCCCCTGCATGGGGAGCCTGGAATCTTAGCGACTGGACCACCAGGAAAGCACTCATTGAGCTTTACACAGGGAAGTCAGGCCACCCAGACCACACCCAAGCTGAAAGCAGGGAGCCATGAGCCCTCCCCAGGTCAGCTGAGTTTCCTCCACACTAACGGTCCCTTGGCCCCTCCCACTGCGGCAAACGCCCCCACTCCCATTTATCCCACCCAGAACCTTCTCCCTCATTAGGCACCACACCCCTTAGAGCCCTAAACCCCACTGAACTCCCTCCCAGCCGGTCCTGCCCTCCTGCGCCCGCCTCCAGCCAAGAATCCTGAGAGCCCTAAGCCCCGCCCCTGAGTCCCCACCCCCGCACTCAGGCCCCATCACTGAGCCTGGTCACTCCGCCCCTGAACCCCCCACCCCACCCACGGGTCTTCTCATCCCTCCCCACTGTGAGGACTCTCCTCCCTCTCCTCCTCCCCATCCCGGGGCTCCCTAATGCCCCACCCAGCAGAAGCACCCCCACAGGAGCCCTCCACCCTTCCACCCAACACCCAGTGGCACTGAGGGGTCCCCGCTCTCCCCTGCCCCCATCCATACGTCCTCCTGCGTGCTCCGACCCCACAAGTCCAGCACCCTGGTTTCCTACTGATTCTGGAAAAGGTCCTTTCCTAGATTCCATGGCCCTCTCCCCCCGGGGGACCCTGAACTTGGAGACCCTGGATGGCTCGGACCCTGACTCAGCCTTGCCGCTGGATGGGGAGCAATGGCCCCCGCCCTGTGAAATCCGTGAGGCCCTTTCTTCTTCTCAGGAGCCCCCCTGCCTTCAAGGGTTCTTGGGAGAGACCAAGGCTGGGTGGGCTCTGGGAGACCCTGGGACGACAGGAACATGGGATGGCTGAGGGGCTCACAGCTGGGGAAATGCAGATGGAGGAGGTGCCTCGGAGGGCCTCGGGCCCTGTGAGGCCCAAGTGGCCCACCTGCTGGGCCCACCTGAATTCCCCTGTGAGGCTGGCACTCACTACCAGCATTCCTGCCCCTCAACACCATCCCCGCCCTGGGTTGGGAGGGGTGAACGTCACTGTGGGAGGTGTGTAGGGGCTGAACAAGGACCCGGAGGCTCCGAGATGGAGGCTGATGGGGCACCTTCTCATTCTCGCTGTCTGTCCTGTCTCCTGGTTGGTGTCCCCTTGGCCGCTACCCTAGTCCTGGACCCAGAGGTGGAGCACAGTCCGGACGTCATCCTAGTGGGTTCCAGCGAACTGTCATCCCCACCATCACCTGGGCCCCGCAGAGGTGAGGGTTCATTTGAGTACTGGGCCCATCGCTTGGGATGCCAGCTCTAGGCCTGAGCACTGTCCAGGGTTCCTGGCTTCTGGAATAATCACGCCTCACTCAGGAGCAGGAGGGCCCCACTCCAAGCCTCCCCCACCCCAGTGACCAGCTGGGATGTTTAAATGTCAAGGTGAAAGGTGGAGGAGGGAGGGTGGTGCTGGCCCTCTGGGTCCTGTGACTTCAAAAGATCGACTCTGAGGCTTGTCTCTTGACCTGTGTGATGTAGGAGACAGGCAGAGGCATCTTTTCTTTTCCAGATCTTATTGCATATGAAGTCAAGGTCAACCAGCGAGACATAGAAGGTGAGCATCACATACCCACCCAGGCCAAGGGATGTCAGCCCGATCAAGAAGGCTTGCAGCCTCACTCAGTTGTCCATCCCTGGAGGAGTGCGGTGGACACCGCTGGTGCCCAGCTTGTATCCCCTCCACCTGCCCTAAAGACCCTGACCCATCATTGAAGGTGTACACTTCAGTGTCTTTTAGTATAATCATACATAATGTGCCACCACCACTACAATCTAATTTTAGGGCATTTTCATTACCTGCACAAGAAACTGGTACCCACAGTAACTCCTTCCTCATCCCTCCTCTCTTTCAACTCTAGGCAACCACGAATCTACTTTTTTTCTCTATGGGTTTGCCTAGCCTGGATCCCCTGCATTTACATATGAATTTTTGGATCAGGCTAGAAATTTCTGAAAAAAAGAAAAAGAAAAAAAAAAACAGCTGGAATTTTGAGAGAGATCTGTAGACCAATTTGGGGAGGCCTGCCATTTTAATGGGCTTCCCTGGTAGCTCAGTGGTAAAGAATCTGCCTGCTAATGCAGGAGATGTGGGTTTGATCTGTGGGTCGGGAAGATCCCCCGGAGAAGGAAACGGCAACCTACTCCAGTATTCTTCCCTGGGAAATCCCACGGACAGAGGAGCCTGGTGGGCTATAGTCTGTGGGGTTGCAAAGAGTCAGACACGATTGAGTGACTGAGGACACACAGCATTTTAACACTCATTAGTCTTCTGATCCACAAACATGGGATGCCCTTCCATCTGTTTGAACTTTCTTTCAAGAGCAGTTTGCGGTTTTCAGTGTACAGGTCTTGCACTTTTTCTGTTGTTGCTAAGTCTGTTACTCTGTCTGGAGGTGTCATGACGCATGTTGACTGTGGGTTTCTGCCTCAGATGTGTGTATCTGCTGTGGAAGTCTCCAGGTGCACACACAGCACCCTCTGTTTGAAGGGGGGATGTGTGCTCCCTGCAAGGTAAGCAAGGAGGTGAGGGTGGCTTCGTGGCGGCCTCAGGGCAGAGTGAGCAGCCTGGCTTTGCCCTCGCCAAGGACAAGTTCCTGGAGTGCCTCTTCCTGTATGACGATGACGGGTACCAGTCCTACTGCTCCATCTGCTGCGCCGGGGAGACACTACTCATCTGCGAGAATCCCGACTGCACCCGGTGAGGCCAGGGACACTGGGGATGTGGAGTCTTGAAGGACTGTTGCCCATAAACCTGGGGAACACCCATCCTTCTGGGCTCTGCATCCCGGAGTGCAAGGGACTTTCCCACCCCCCTCCCCAAAGGATGACTTTCTCCAAAGCTTTCAATTTCCATCTCTAGTATTTCATTTGCTGAAAAGCCTTGACCTATGGGAGGGGCTTCCCAGGTGGCACCAGTAGTAAAGAGCCTGCCTGTGAAAGAGAAGTAAGAGATGCTGGTTCGATCCCTGGGTGGGGAAGATCCCCTGGAGAAGGGCGTGGCAACTCACTCCAGAATACTTGCCTGGAGAATCCCACACACAGAGGAGCCTGGCAGGCTATGACCTGTGGGGTCACAAAGAGTCAGACATGACCGAAGTGACTTAGCACGCATGTACGCTTGACCTATGGGAAGGGGTGTCAGAAGCTGTGTGCTTGTGATTTTTCTGTTTTTATCGCCCAGGCACAGCTGCTCCCTCGATGGTTAAGTAGGACAGTGACAGGACACCCTCATGGCCAGGGTCAGGCGGGTACCTTCGTTCTTCCCTACTGTGCGCCCACCTGAGCTTTGCTTGCAGTCCCTCCCTCCAGCCCCTCTGGGCCATCCTTGTATTTGCAGCTCCCCACCCCACACCTGCGCCCCTGTCCCCTCAGTCGGTGCTTCTGCACTTGAGTTCATGGGCAGATCTCACCCGCTTTCTTAGGTGCTAAAGTTGGGAGGAGGAGGAGGACAGCTGCCTTGGGGGAATCTTGAGAATCCGCCACAGTCCACAGGTCCCCTTGTCCTCTGCAGATGACTGGGGCCCTGTGGCTCTAGCTGCCTGGGAGGGACTGACACCCTCCCTCAGCCACAGCCTTGCCTCCCCACCCTGCTCGCCTTGTCTCTCCACCTGTCTTTTCACTCACTCCAGAACAAGGAGCAGGCTCTCTGCTGCTTGCAGGACCACCGGGGTTTCACCTGGTGACGAGGCATCGTCATTTCTGCCCCTGTGGTTTTCTGTTTGACTCCAGATGCTACTGTTTCGAGTGCGTTGACACCCTGGTTGGCCCCGGGACCTCGGAGAAGGTTCACGCCATGAGCAACTGGGTCTGCTTCCTTTGCTTGCCCTTCCCCAGGAGCGGGCTGCTGCAGAGAAGGAGGAAGTGGCGGTCGGGGCTGAAGGCCTTCTATGACCGGGAGGCGGTGAGTGGCATTTGGGGCTGGAGGACAGAACGGGCAAACGGCCAGCCCTAACTTGGCTTGTTTCCTCTGTCGACTGGTTGCAAAATGCCCATCCGCTCTGCTTATGTGATGAAGTTAAAGGCTTTTGAGCAAATGCACTTTTCTCACCTTCCTCTTTGACAGCAGTGTCCACTAGGTGTCTGTCTTCCACAAATCCCTTCAGCACAGCAGCTTCGTTTCTCCCAAGCCTGGGAGCCAGGCATTTGTAGGAGAGGGCCCAGCAAATGTGGGCCTCTGAGCTCGGCAAGTGGGAACAAACGCCTGAGCAGGATCTCTTAGTCCAGCCTGGACAGCTGGCACAGATGTGGGTCCTCTCTGGGATCAAAGTCAGGGCCATGAGCCAGGCAGGAGTGTGGGTTCATCCCAGTAGGGTGGATTCATCACAGTAGTTTGAGCTCTGATCCTCAAAGATACACCCAAGTCCTAACTCCTGGTACCCGTGAATGTGACCTATTTTGGAAATAAGGTCTTTGCAGATGTAGTTTAGAGAAGGATCTCGAGGTGAGGTCATCCTGGATTGGGGTGACACGAAATGCAGTGATTGATGTCATCTAACAGGAAGGAGTGGGATAGAGACACAGGAGGGTGGGGGTGTGGGGGCTGAGTGAGGGGGCAGGGTGGGCACTGACAGGGACAGCCTGGAGCCTCAGGTTCCTTCTCTGCTGTTCGAGGCTGGCCAGTTCTGGGGAGTCGCTGCACACTTGGCATTGCTGGGCCAACCATGGAGGCATGTGGTGGCCCCACCGCCCTGTGGTCCCTGACCCTGGATGGAGCAGCCTTCAAGGTGCTTTTCTAAACTAGGCACCTGCCCTCCAGTAGAGCCTTCTTCAGGTCCATCTTGTGGCAGAAGCCACCCATCTCTCTGTAAAAGACTCTGAGCCAGCAAACTGCAGGAGGAGTTTCTCATCCAAGGGAAAAGGGGTAGATGCTCTGAACCTCTGCTACTGCCCCAGGGGAGTAGGGGGATGGAGGCATGGCTCCTGCAGCTGCCATGGGGAACCAGGACGTGTGTCCCCAAGTGTCTGTCAGGGCTGCACTTACACTGGATATACCCTGCCCTCCCCATGCCCCCAGGAAGCCCAGGACCACCTGCCCTCTCCCTCTGCTTCACTTTTTGCCTGCATTGGGCACCGTCCACCTGCTCCAGTCCCGGGCTCAGGGTCTCCTGGGACCCCCACCCTCCACTGCTTGCAGACAGCACTCCTGCCCAGGCCTGGTCTTCCATCCACAGCTTGATGTCATGCTCATAGGAGGCCAGGAAGCCTCCCGGGGGTCGGGGGCTCGGGAGTCCTTGTTCTGTGGATAGATCCACTGCATCTCTGTCAGCCAGTGCCATGCATGGGAGGGTGGGTGTTACCGGATGCCTTCTCGGGCTCCTGTCCTCAGCCCAGCCCCTTCACGCAGAGACAGGTGCTGGCTCAGGCCTGGCCTGGGAGAGGCCTTGTGCTCATAGCCTTCACGGGTGGTGCCGGGTGACTTGGGGCCTGGGTTCAGAGCCTGTAGAGAGGATGGAGAGGGACCCGTTGTTTCCTATGGCTATGGGCGTTCAGAGTGCCCCAGGTCAGAGACTCTTGCCAAGAAATACAGGGAAGTGGTTTCTCTAGGGATAGAGTTATCTCCTCTCACAAGCAATGAAGTCCTGAACACCTGCCTCCCCTTTGCTGGAGATGCAACTGGTAGGGGAGGGCAAGAGCCTCAGCCTAGGGGATGGGCCAGATCTTCATGAAGGCCTGGGGGTCAGTGCAATCAAGGCAGGGCCAGCCCCCTCAGCAGGTGTGCAAGGCCAGAAAGAACTTGTCTTGACATTCATGGGCTCTATGACTAGGTAGTCATCAGAATGTTCTGGGTTTGTTTTTTTTTTAATAAACAGGAAAGTCCCCTTGAGATGTACAAAACTGTGCCTGTGTGGAAGAGAGAGCCCATCCGGGTGCTGTCCCTTTTTGGGAACATCAAGAAAGGTGGGTGCAGTGACACCTGAGGGCTCATGCTAGAAGAGGGGTCTGCTTGGAGCGAGACCCACAGGGGCCCCAGGGTGTGTGCACGAGGGTGGGGGGTGCGAAGGTCCCCAGCATCACATTCACTGCATGTCTTGGACTGGGGGCCAGGCAAGAGGATGGCCTGAGGGCCATTTCCAGGAGGCGAGGTGTGTGTGGGGGTGCTGTGCAGGAGCCCCTGGGGCTCCTTCCTTCAGCTGGGCTGCCTTGGAAAGAAAATTCACGTAGCAAGACGGTGGGTGTGAAATGCCACAGTGAGGGCCGTGTGGCCAATTCTCTGCTAGGACAGCCCTGCCCAGAGCCCCCGAGCCTCACACATCTCCACACACCTGGCCACCTTACCTGCCCCAAATGTTGCCAGGCTCACCGCACCCTCCGCCTCTTCCCAGATGCCCCTATCACCCAGGCAGTCACAGGCTGCCTGGGTGTCCTGCCCCTGCGAGCCCCAAGCAGACCCCCACCTACTGGTACCTTTGGAAATCCCATGGATTCTTGTGGGCCCAGCAGATGTAAGAGGAATCAGTGAAGATACCTCTGTTAGTCTCTGGCCAAGTGGAATGGGGCCCTCTGCCCTGCTCCTGGTGCTAGCCAAGTGTCAGGTAGTGTGATCACAGTGGCCCCGTGCACATCCGTGTCAAGGATCTGGGGGCCGAGACACACAGGGCGGGCATGGCCTCTCCTGAAGGAGCCCAGGAGTCACGGCCCACGGCCACTCAGCCTTCCAGTCCCTGCCCAGACAGTGCGTTACTGAATTTGCAAGAGCCTTTCTGGGCTCGTCTTGCAGTGCCTCGGCTGCATACTGTCCTGCAGCCCAGCCCTGTCACCCAGCCTGACCGGGTGACATCAGCATTGCCGCCACCCAGCGGTTTCCTAACCCAAAGAGTGGCATGCAGCCTGGGGTGTTGCAACATGTGGCTTGACTTTCTGAAATCAGTGCTTGCTCACCCCGTCATGTCACTGGAAAGATAAAGTCTGCTCGCCATATGATAGCCATACATTCTGATAAGCCGTTGGCCTTTGATTCCACGTCGGGTCAAAACCCAACGCCAGCCTTCTGTGTCCTCTCGGCTCCCCACCCAGAGCTGATGAGTCTGGGCTTTTTGGAAGATGGTTCTAAGCTGGGAAGATTGAAACATTTGGATGACGTCACCAACGTAGTGAGGAGGGACGTAAGTACTGCCGGCTCCTTCAGGCCCCTGGTGAGAGCAGACTGGGGGGAAGGGGACAGGGGACCAGGCAGAGAGGGGGGAAGCGCAGCCCCATGCTCTGCCCCCTGCAGGGCCGACCTGGGGTGGGGTCTCACGGGGATCGCCCCCACAATGGGGGAGATGAGAGGGGCATCTTTGTGGCCCCCACGCTGCCTGTTCCTGCTGTCCTGAATGTGGCCTGGGAGGGAGGGCCTAAAAGTGACTCAGCCAGCTCGGTCAAGAGTGTCCTGGGGTGGGAAAGGGATGGGAAGCCTCCGGGGCCTCTGCAGGAGGACCTGGGCCCTCGCCCGAGGCCCACACAACCCCCCGCATCAGGATTAAAGCCCATCGTCCCTAGAGCCCAGCCCTACCCCAGGCACAGGGCCTGAAGGGCCAGAGCGCTGGCCATTGCAGGCGGCAGCAAGGAAACGGCCAGCGTCGGGAATCCACTCTGCCCCCGGGGTGCCAGCCAGAGCCTTACAGCTCCATTCTGCAACCCCCCCCCCATCCTAGCCTGACCCAAGGGTGTGTCCAGGGGCCAGCCCTCCTCTTTGGCTGGGCCTGGAGACTCCCCCGCCACCAGTCCATCCCCCTGGGGTCTGCCCTGCCTTGAAGGCCAGAACAGTGTCTTCTTGCCCCACTGGCCCCATCAGATGTCCCACCAGGGAGAATTTCTGGTCATCCCACTCGTCCTAGGCTCCCCAGGTGGGGTCCTCCCTTGAAGGGCAGGATGGTCCAGGTGGGGCTGGACAGTGATAGGAGGCCTCTCCCCTAACGCAGCAGAGCTGCAGGACAGAGCAGATGTGGAGGGGCTCTTGCTGGTGCAGTGGAGGGTCTAGACCTGTCCCGTGATGAGCTCTGAGTCTCTGTGGTGACAGCGACGCCCATGTGTGTTGTCATTGCTCGGTTCCACCAGCGTCCAGTCTTTTCCGTGAGGCTCGTGACCCAGGCCTTCCTGTAGTGCCACTACCCTGGAGAAGGGGGCATCTGGCTGCCACCCACTCCCACGTATGCACGGCCACATCTGGCTGTCCATGTCTGTGGGTCTCAGGGGATTCAGAGTGCTTGCTGGCAGATTCTTGGGGAGAACAGGGTGTCCCTGTAAGACCTTGCTTCCTTCACGGCGTTTATTGGGTCGTCACAGCAGCCACCAGCCTGCAGACCCTGGCCCCCCAGCTCAAGCTCACCTCCTCTAGCCCCCTTGCCTCCTCCCCATCCAGATATCCCTCTGTACTCATCTCAGTCTGCAGCCTGCAGTAGTGCACTTGGGCAGGGGCAGAGGCAGAGCTGGCTGCAACAGGGCATGTGAGGTCGCGAGGTGGGGAGCTGGCGTCTGGGGCAGGCTTCTGTCCACTGCTTTGGTGAGGGTCCAGGGAAGCCAAGTCTGCTCTGGACAGGTTGCTGTCACAGAACCAGGCATCCAGTGTTTGGGTCTCATTTATTTTCTTTTTAAGAATAACTTGGGCCAGTGTCTCTAACTGGAGCCCTGGGTCACGTGGGAGGGGCACTTGGGCCCCTGGTGGTGAAAGCACGTCCTCCACTCAGGAGGGGTTGGGGGCCTTGGGGTGGGCGTGTTGCTGCAGGGGCAGGAGCAGCTCATGCTCCCGCTGTCCATTGACCCATCAGGGGCTCGATGTGTATTTTCCAGCAACACAGGAAATATGCATGAATCTGGGGGGCCCATGTGTCAAGCTCCCGGGAGGGTCTTTGAGGACACAAAGGAATCATGATGCTCAGATTCCCAGGCTGCCTCCTCCAGATGGAGGAAGTGAGGTTCCCCACCACCCCTTCCGTGAGGGTCAGCCTGAATCACATGATTAGACGAACGAGGTGCCTGACCCGGGGACCACGCTGCCCTCCTGAGCCTCCCCTGTCCTCCTGTAGGTAGACGAGTGGGGCCCCTTCGACCTCACCTATGGTTCCACGCCTGCCCTGGGCCACACCTGCGACCATCCCCCCGGTAAGAAACTGCCATCTGCTGGGACTCCAGGGCCTCTTGGCCCCCACCCCCTCCCACACACCCCCAGCACTCTTCAGGGAGGGCAGGAATTGCAAATTGTCTGCAACTTAAAAAAAAACAAAAACAAAACAGCTTTACTGGGCATCAGAGACCTGTGTCAGTGTCCGTATTCAGTGAGCACGTCCTGGTTGGTCTTGAAGTGTGTATCCTGTGAAGCCATCACCGTAACCTCAACATGAGCGGGTCTGTCACCCCAAGGCTGCCTGGCGCCCCTCCCACCCCGTCTGCTGGGCTGTGTGTCCCGCAGGGGCTTTACCAGCCACTCGCACCTGTGCTGTCTTAGCATCAGGCACATCTGTGCCCTCCAGGCTGCTGGGGGGCAGGCAGCCACAACGCAGCTGAGGCCTCCCCTCCCTGCTTCCACCAGAGCCCCACCCTCCTGTCCCAGGCCCCTCCCAGTGGGTGGAGCCCAGACACACCTGGATGCCCCCTCCCCAGGGTGGTACGTGTACCAGTTCCACCGCATCCTGCAGTACGCGAGGCCCAAGCCTGGCAGCCCCCAGCCCTTCTTCTGGATGTTCGTGGACAACCTGGTGCTGACGGAGGAGGACCTGGATGTGGCCACTCGCTTCCTGGAGGTGTGTGCAAGTCGGGGCCTCTCCAGGGGACACTATGGCCCCTTGGTAGGAGTACCACTTAGGTCCCGGCCCTGATGACTGGTTTTCCAGAATTCATGGGGCCCACGAGGGCTGTCGTACACTGAGGCCCCAAAGCTGCCTTCTCGATGCTTTGCTCTGGATTCAGGAAGCTGCCACTGGGGGTCATGTCTTTCTCCCCCAACCCAGCTCCATCTGCACACATGTGCACACATGTGCACACACTCACACTCACACCCATCCTGGGGAGCCAACAGCCTTGCTCTTTCTGTCCTCAGGCCCAAGTCCTGGCCTAAAGGCCACTTCTGAACTCAGTGACCCTCTGTCCAGGCCTGACCCGGCCCATCTTTCCCAGCTCGCTTCGCCCCCCACACAGGGCAGCCCCAGGCCATGCTGGGTGTCCCCTCATCTCAGGACGTTCCCCTGCTGTGTTCTGTTGTTTATAAATTGACAGCAAAGGTCTCCTGGCCGCCCCGCTCCCACCATTCCCACTGCATTTGTCTTTAGGTCCCTGTCACCTCCAGGACTTCTCCACAAACTTGCAAATCTGCCCACAGGCTTTTCTCACTCACTGTTGCCCTGGAAATCCTTCTGTTGGAAAAGTGCCTTTCTCCTTTAATTTATGTGTTGTTGTTTTGTTCTATTTACACAGACATAAAAAATTGCCTTCAACCTGTTTCCGTGAACACCCAGTTGGGTGGTTTCTAATCTCTTGCTCTTAAAAACATTGCTACGAGGCAGGGATATGAGGGGGGATGTCTGTGGGGTGGATTCGGGAAGAGAGGTTGTGGGATCCACGTTCCGTTTTCAGAGATGCTGCCCTCCACCCCCAGGATGTCTGCGTAGCCCCTCTGACGGCAGAGCTGCTCTCTCCCTCGCCCTCCCACAGGGTGTCCCCAGCCCTCTGCCTTCCTTCTGTTGCTCCAAGTGTCCTCCTGCTCTTCTTACCTCCTATGCAGTTGGGATTTTTCCATTCTGTATCTTACTGGTTTTGATTTGTATTCAAGAAACTATTGATCTGTCTAGACTAATTTAGCTCCCGTCACCTTATTGGATTACTTTGTGGATGACAGTGGTTTGCAGTTGATTCAGGTAGACTTCCTAGGTGTTTGAGCGGATTATCTGCAAGCTGTGACAGTTTTCTTTCTGATTCTGTACCTCGAATTTCGCTGTTCTCGCATTTCTCTGGTCTCACGTTGTATCACAGTAGTGGCGGGACATGCCTGCCTGGCTCCTGACTGTCACGGAAATGTTCCCAGTGTTTCTCTCCTAGGCTGATGCTGATTTTTGAGGTCACAGTTGATAAACTGCACTATGTTAAGGAAATTTCTAGTCATTTCCCTTGACTTCTACTTTTTTGATCCATTTTAATTAAGAATAACAGTTGGATTCTGTCAAATGTCCTTTTTTATGTTCATGGAGATAATTAAATTTATTCTTTAGATCTGTTGTGAAAGTGTTAGTCACTCAGTTGTGTCCAACTCTTTGTGACCCCATGGACCGTAGCCTGCCAGGCTCCTCGGCCCATGGGATTTTCCAGGCAAGCCTACTAGAGTGGGTTGTCATTTCCTTCTCCAGGGGATCTTCCAGACCCAGGGATCAAACCTGGGTCTCTCGAATTGCAGGCAAATTCTTTACTATCTGAGCCACCGGGGAAGCCATTTAGATAATAGAGGATGCTAATAGATTTTCTAGTAGTCAACTGTCCTTGCATTCCTGAACTCACCCACTTAGCTCTGTGTGCGGCTCTTTTGACGGATAGCTGAATTCTGGTGAGCAGCATTTTTATGTGGGATCTTTGCTTTGACAAGTGCAAGAGAGGTGCGTATGAGGTTTTTATTGGCTTTGTGCTATTTCTGTTGGTTTGGATGCCAATGTTAAGCTTGCTTTGTAAAAATATTTAAAGATTTGACAAAGGTGAAATTGTCTGGATTGGTCATTGTTGCACAGGTTTTAAATGGGAGCAATTCTTCTGTAGAAACTAATCTGTTAAGATTTTCAATCTTTTCTGAGATCACTTTGGTAAGTTATGTTTTCCCAGAATGCCACCCATTTAAGTAAAATTTAAAATCATTTTCATAGAGTTGAGAAAAGTGTCCTCATGATTCTCTTACTTTCTCCTGCCACCTGTGGTTATTTCTCCTGTTTAGGGAGCGTGGAATTTTTAAATACTGGCACCCCTGTTAACCACATACAAGCAGTCAGGACAAGGCTTGTAACATTCTCTGATTATTGAAAAGTCTATGAATATGTGATCCTGAGTTCAGCCAAAGCCAGTCTCCAAACCTGGGCAGCAGCTGTCAGCAGACGTGGAGGACAGCAAAGATGCTGGCTCTTGACCGTTTAGTGAGCACATTTGGTCGCTCGGAATCAGTCCTGAATGGAAAGTAGGCAGGAAAGAGAACGTTCACCATGTGTCCTGTGACTACGCCCACTTTGCTGTAGATCCACATTTCTGCTGATGGCAGGGAACAACTAGATGTGCCAAACACAAGCCTGCCTGTCTCTGCCCCGGACATGACGGTACATCCAGCTGTGAGCTCTCCTCCCCGCCAGGGGTGTGGACACAGCAGGAGGCCGACATGCCCAGAATGGTTCTGCCACCCCCACTCTGAGTCTGGGGAGGTGGAGTCTAGGCCGCCTTGTCGTGTGCTGGGGATTGGATGGTCTCGCGACCCCGTTTCTCCTGCCATGGCTCCCCCAGCCCCTCCTCCCCTGACCTTTCTAGGGAGACTGTGGCCCCAGAATCCAGGTGCTCCCTTAGATCGAAAGGCATCAGCCCTTCTGGAAGTCTGCTGTTTGCCCGCAAAGCTTCTTATCTGCCGGAGGTGACACAGCTCTTGGCTCAAAGATCAAGGAATTCTTTGTCCTTCACGGAATCCACCTCTGCTGTGGAGCAGACGGGGAGTCCCTGGGCATGTGACCTTTGGAAATGAAAAATCTGCCAGTTAAAAGGTCTAAAATAATAACTCAGTTTTATCCTTATAAGGTGGTTGATAAGAAAACAGACATGCCATGGGAACAGTGTCGACTGGGAGACAGCTTCCATCCAGGAGGGCTGCGGACTGTGCTCTGGGCTGGCAGGGTGCCCGCGGTGGCTGAGGCCTGTGGGTGCCCCCAGCTCACAGCCCATGTTCCCATCCCTCAGACTGACCCGGTGACCATCCAGGATGTCCGTGGCAGGACTGTCCAGAACGCCGTGCACGTGTGGAGCAACATCCCTGCTGTGAAGAGGTATCCCTGTGTACACCAGGGCCCTGGAGGCCTGGAAGCACACCTGCTTGGGCCCATCACCAGGGAACCCAGGGCAGCTGAGGGAGCCATGCCCAGGCAGCCTCTGTGGCCACCTGGGGCACCCCACAAGTTCTGGATAAGCTCAAGGCCAGCGGGCCCCCTTTCCACTTCAGGGCCCTCCTCCCCGCTTTCACACTGGTCCTTTCTGAGCAATTCACCTCTGGACGAACTCCTGGACGTGAGCCACCCAGCATGTGTGCCCCAGTCCCCTGTCCCCAAGCTCCGGGCACCTGCCTCACCCTGCACACCCCCACCCCCACGTGAACACGCCCAGTCTCTCATAAGCTCACACTCATCATACACACAAAGCACATACTCACACAGACACACATTCTCACTCATGTTTCGCCATGCACTTTTGGGCCACACTGAGCTTCTTCTAGCCCCTCAAACAGGTCTGCCTAGGGCCTTCACACACACGCGCGCGCGCGCACACACACACACACACACACACACGTGCTCATGAAGACACACACAGCCCCCGCTCTGCTTCTAGAACACTCTCAGTACTGTTGATCCGCAGGAACACCCCCTCGCTGGCCCTGCACACCCTTAGCCCTGGCCCAGCCACCCCACTGCTCCGGGGACTCTGCACTCCCCTCCTGACCCTGCCACATGCCCCCCCAGGGCCCTAGAGGAGAAGGCCATCTCTTCCCCCAAACCTCATGCCTCTGGCCTTTGCCCTTGTCTTGCCTGCTTCTTCCAGGGCAGTAAGTCATGTGCCCTCCTCCTGACAGTTTCTGGAAACTTCTCTTTGCCACCTCCCACACCAGCCTTCTCTATGCTCACATTGTGGTGGCCGCCAGGCCCCCACCCAGGACCGTAGTGGGGGTAGGTGGGCAGCAAGGTGGAGCAGGTTCCTAAAACACTGTCTTTTTGAAGACTTGAGGGTCACCCCGCCTCGTCTACGGCATCTCCCCCCACTTCTGGCCCCTGGAGGGAGGTGGCAGGGCCTGGGGGCACACCTGGGCCCCAGAAACACAGTGGGTGCTTCCTCTTAGGCCCACGCTGCCTCAGTAGTGAGCGAGACCTGCCTCACGGGACGTAGGGACCTCTCCGCCCAGGTGACGGGCAGCTGCCTCTGGACAGCCCCAGACTCCCTTGGACTATGGAGGCACAGATGGAGAGGGCGAGCTGGGGTGGTCTTCACCCCCAAAGTGAGCTGGGAAATGTTCCCCAAGTCCAGTGAGGTGCCCAGCGCCACATCCGGCAGCCTTGAGTCCTTGGGTTGCATCACATGGTGAGCGGGGTCCCTGCTGCGTGGCCTCTGGCCAGGCAGTCCAGGGTCTGCAGGAGGCCATGATCAGCTCGGGTGCAGTCGAGCCCACGGGGAGGCCATGGGATGCTGCTGGACCGGCCTCGCCCACGAGTCCACCCTCCCGCCTCTGTGGGTCTGCTCCGTGATGGCCTCTCCACGCGCCAAGTGGGACCTGCTGAGCTGGGCCAGTAGTCTGTCCTTGGGAACCCTCTGTGCCTCCGTCTCCAGGGACAGGCTCCTCCCTGGGGCAGGTGGGAGGTGAGGGGGCCGTTGTCCCCTACTGCCCAGGATACACCTGTCACCTCCCCCGACTGGGTGAAACACTCACAGAGGGTGGGGGCTCTTATAAGTGTGTTTATCTCAGAGGCCTCGGGGAGCCTAGCGAGGCTGTACCCCTGGCTTCCAGGGTGTCTGTGGGGTCCTCCAGTGGGCACTGAGCCCCTTTCTCCTCACAGCAGGCACTCGGCTCTGGTGTCCCAGGAGGAACTCTTCCTACTGGCTCAGGACAGGCAGCGAATGAAGCCCCCTGACCAGGGCCCGGCCACCCTGGTGAAGAATTGCTTTCTCCCCCTGAGAGAGTATTTCAAATATTTTTCAACAGAACTCACTTCCTCTTTATAAATGAGTCATTATACCGTGAAAAAAAAAAAGGACTTTTCTTAGAACAAAGGCAACTTTCCTTACATTGTCTCTATTTTCCTTTTCAAATTATTATTTTATTTGCTTAACTTTGGGTTTCCCATGGTTGCTAAAGACCCACCATCACCCTTTGGATCCAGTGGTCCTGCCCCCACTGTGACCTTTGGTGGGAGGAGGTGAAGCCCAGGGCCTCATGGTGGACGAGACCCCGATGTTTTCATGTACCTTGTGCTGCTGGCAGCATTTCTGTCCAGTTGAGAAGTTACAAATATATTTATTATGATCATCACAGGCCCCCTTTTGGTGTTTTTGTGTGTGTTGCTAGGTGCTAAGTCGCTCAGGCATGTCTGACTCTTTGTGACCCTATGGACTGTAGCCAGCCAGGCTCCCCTGTCTATGGACTTCTCCAGGCAAGAATGCTAGAGCAGGTTGGCATGTACTTCTTCAAGAGATTTTCCCGACCCAGGGGTCAAACGCACGTCTCTTATGTCTCCTGCATTGGCAGGTGGGTTCTTTACCACTAGCACCACTTTATGTATCCCGTAGGACGTGGGGCATGTGCGTAAGACAAGCAGGACGCGTGGCTATAAGCCCCCGCTGCACCTGTGTTATTCGTACATGTAGCCGATGCCGTCAAAACTGCCATGTGCCGTGACGGTTAAAACCATCCATCCTGGTGAGAGGCACATGAAACATCCCAAACCTTTGCAAAGCGTGGAGCATCTGCTTGGTCAGCAAAGGGAGGACAGGCTGAAGGGAAGGAGTGGAGGCCATGGCCAGGTCCACTCATGAAGCGTGTGACCTCTGTCCTCCTTAACCCAGAGGGACTTGCTTGTGGAGGCAGGGTCCCCATCTGCCCTGGGCTCTGGTGAGGACTTTGCAGTCCAGACACAGCTGGCTCCAAACCACATGTGATAAACCCACAAGGGATCTTTCCAGATTAACCAGAAAACCCCCCAAAGAGACCTAGACTCAGATAAGCACGCAGGTTCCGCTTGTCCTGGGCGTGACCTTGCAACTGGGGGTATGCTCGGGGTCAGCTAGTGCTGATAGTGGCTTGTGGAAGTAAGCGGGGGGGGGGGCAGTTAAAATTGGACTTCTGAAGGTGTTTTTAAAATATTTTGAAATAGAATGGAAGTTGTGATGGTTAATTTCAGTGTTGACTTGCCTACAGCACCCAGACATTTGTTCAGACGTTAACCTGGAGGTTTCTGTGAAAGGATTTCTGGGTTAGGTTGACAAACCGGTGGACTTTGAGTAAAGCAGGTAACCCTTCACAAGGCAGGTGGGCGCTGTGGTCTGAATGTCTGTGACCCAGAATTCACCCGTTGATCCTAACCCAGGTTGGCCTCCAAGGTGATGGTGTTAGGAGGTGGGGCCTTTGAGAGGTAACCCTAAGATGGGATTTGTGAAGTGAAGTTGCTCAGTGATGTACAACTCTTTGAGACCCCTATGGACTGCAGCTCACCAGGCTCCTCCATCCATGGGATTTTCCAGGCAAGAAAACTAGAGTGAGTTGCCATTTCCTTCTCCAGGGGATCTTCCTGACCCGGGGATCCAACTCAGGTCTCTTGCATTGCAGGCAGACTCTTCTCAGTCTGAGCTACCAGGGAATTCCCCAAGATGGGGTTAGTGCGCTTACAAAAGAGGCCCCAGGGAGCTCTCTCACCCACCCCTGCCCGTGTGAGGTCACCCGAGAAGTGTGTGACCAGGTAAAGGGCCCGCTCCTGACCCTGCAGGCACCTGATCCACCGCTTCCAGCCCCCAGAACTGTGAGCAGGATGTTTCTACTGTTTGCAAGCTTCCCAGTATGTGGGATTTCACCATAGTGGCCCCATCAGACTGGGACAGGGGGCAACTCCTGAGCCATCAAAGGCCTAACCTCCCCTGAGCAAGAAGGCTGGCTAGCTCACCCTGCAGATTCAGGGTTCATCAGGCCTTCATAATTACAGGAGCCAATTCCTTGAAATCAATTTTCTCTCTCTCTCTCTCTCTCTACACACACACACACACACACACACACACACACAGCCCTAGCTGACACAGACATTCTCATCTTCATGAAGACCTTCTCTCCAAGCTGGCAGGAGGACAATCATGGACTCTGATGTCACAGGTCTCCTGCCTAGGGGCTAAAGATTTGTAATGAAACTCAGGTCATGCAGCTCCAGAAAACATCGAGGGCCAGTGGGGACAGGAGCATCGAGCACAGGTGAGACCCTTGGGAGGCCAAGCTCTGGGTCCAAGCCAGGACAGGTCTGATGACAGCTGTTTGCCAGCGGGCTGACTCCAGCTGCTTCCACCCATGGCAGCCAGTGCTGAGAAAGCTGATCTGCTGGTGTCTGCTCTCCTTCACCTGCTGCCAGGCAGGGGCCCAGAGCCTCTCAAAGCAGCTTTACCTCTTTGGCTTTTTTTCAAACACCTTGAAATTCTCCAAATATTTAATCTAACTACAGGGCCCTTTGTGATCCCCCCTCGTGGTCAGCTGAACAATGACCCCCAAAAGATGTCCCTGTCCTAAAGCTCAGAACCTGTGAATATCAACTTATATGGCAAAAGGGGACTTGGCCGAGGTGAGGAGGTGGAGACAGGGAGATCAGGCTGAATTATGTGTGATCCCAAAGATCCTGGTCAGGGGAGGCAGAGGAGATCTGACCCCATTCAGAGGACAAGGCCGTGGCCCCGGGGGCAGAGGGAGCTGAAAGCCTAATGGGCCTGAAGCCCCTTGAGGATGGCTATTTAGGGCAACCAGCCCCCAGAACTGGATAGGAGGCTGCATTTCTGTTGTTTTACCCCACTTGGTGGAAGTGGGGTCCTGCTTCTGAGACTGCCCCCAGAGCCTCGGATCAGTCTTGGTTCCTATGCATAGACAACCTTCTGGGGGCTTCTCTCTCCAACTCCTAACTCCCACCCAGATTGCCTGAGAAACAGTCACAGTGAAGGGGAAGAGAGGAAAACTTTACCTCACCCACAGGAAGCCTCCTAAGGGCTGTTTGTGTGTGTCCATTTGTCTAGAAATCCTCCATGCATAACCCATGTGCGGGTCTTGGTGTGTATGTTCTATGTGTATTCATTCACGATGACCTCACATCAAGGCTATCCCCACCTCACAAACAGCAATTACAGGCACAGCGGGGTTAAGTAACTTGCACACAGTGGGGTTAAATAACTTGCGCACAGCAGGGTTAAGTAACTTGCCTAACATCACTCTGCTCCTGAGGAGCACTTGCCAGTCTGAGGTTCCTGGGGCTGGTCTTCTGCCCACTCCAGGGGTACCCCTGCCCCACTGCCCTGAGAAGCTTGGATGCCCCCTTCCAACCTGGCTGCACTCCCTACCCTTCTCTGCCTGCTCAATCAACAGCGCGTTCCTTGGGCCTGGGGTCCCCACACTCTGGTGGGCCTAGCAGCAACACTTGGGCTTCTGCGGTCTGGCATGGAGGGCAGCCAGAGCATGCCAGAGCCTGGCGCCAGAGCCCAGGCGCCAACTCGAGAGTGTCAGCACCTTGAGAAAGTGTCAGCTCCCTCCTCCGCTGCCCTGGGGCAGTAACCGGGCGGCACTGAAGGGCTGCTCTCCAGACACCGACTGGGCGCCTTCACTTCCCGGTCCACGTGAACCGGCACCCTCCAAGGGAGACTTTAACCGAGGGGGGCTCGACCTGGTACTCTCCAACAATCTGAGGTTGCAATGGGGTCCACCGCTCGCGCTCCCGCTCCGGCTCCCTGCGGGTAGAGGCGGCATCCTCCTGGGGAGCCAGGTGGGGGGAGGAGAACCCAGCCGTCAGCCAATCAGTGCAGCGCAGCCCTCCGCCTGTCCAATCAGACAGAACCTCGGGATTTGCGGGCGGGGCTGGACCCGGGAAGGTGAGAAGCAGCGCCGCAGACTGTCCCTTGTCTCTCCCTCCTCACCTGTGGGTGATGCTGGGGCTGGCTCTCCGCAAACGCAGTCCTCCTCTGCCAGTTGTTGGGGGAGAGGATCAAAGGCCACCGATATCATGCCCGCTCCAGCCCCGCTAGGCCTGATGCGATGCTCACTCCCATCATCAAGTGTCCCCGCTAAGTGTGTTCTAGATGCAGCGCTGGTTTTCTGGCTCTGGCAATGGGAAGCGTCCTGAGACCCCGTTTCTGATTTGATTCATGCCCATGGCCAGCTCTCCTGGTCAAATCTTACCTTTCCTCCTGGCTCCCAGTTCCAGCCCCCTCAGGACGTCCCCCACCCAAGTTCAGACTGTCTGTGCCCTCACTGGACACCTGACCAGGAGCCCTGACCAGGACCCCTGTCTCTTCTTCACTCCTGACCACAGAAAAGGGAAGGTAAATCCTCCTTGGACTCTTTAAATCCTCCACCCCAGTCTCCCAGCCTGACCTGGGAGGAGTGAAGCCCCTGGGCTTTAGGACTGCAGGCCTCTCTCCCTGGCCACCTGCAACCCCCACCGTCTCATCCCACCTCCCAGCCCATCTCTTTTAGTTCTTTGTCTTGTTTGTTCTTGTCTCCACAGAGGTGATCATTTCCACCAGGCAGAGATCCTCTTATTTTAAGCTTTTATCGTTAGTGCTCACACAGGCCATGGTAGGTGGGCACTAAACCTTAGTTGCAAGAATGATAGCATGAAGGAGGTGGCTGGGGCCAGGGCAGCCTCCTTGGTTCCCTCTCAAACTTACACCCTCCCTCTCCTACCCCCCTCCAAAGGCAAGCCTCAGCATCCCCATCAGCCAGGGCAGCAGGACACAACCCTCCTGCCTGCTCCACCCAAGACATGACCCTCCAGACCTGAGGCGAGTGCCCAGGATCTCAGGTCCTTCCAGAGATGCCCAGCAAAGAGGGCACCTGTTCTCTCATGGCTCCATCCCCTCACCTCATTGGCACCTACCTGCCCAGTGCAGAAGGGGGTAGGGGGAGCACTGACTTAGCTGGGACTCCTGGAGAGAGGCCAGGTTGACTGGGAGGGGTAGGGAAGGAATAAACAGTGTTTGTCCTTACTGTGGGGCTCTGGGGCTCCCCCAGTGTTACCAGACCAGAAAACAAGAGCATCAAGTCCCACAGGCTTGGAGGAGCAAAGACTGAACAACTTTTCCACAAGGTGGGCTTCTCAGAGCCTTTAATATGTAAATATGCAAAGAAGTCTTTAATTCAGACTTAAATTGAAGAAAGTAAGGAAAACCACTAAACTATTCAGGTATGACCTAAATCAAATCCCTTACAATTATACAGTGGAAATGACAAATAACTAAAGGGATTAGATCTGCTATATAGAATGCCTGAAGAACTACGGATGGAGGTTCGTAACAATGTACAGGAGTCCAAGATGAAAACCATCCCCAAGAAAGGCAAAAAGGCAAAATGGCTGTCTGAGGAGGCCTTACAAATAGCTGAGAAAAGAAGAGAAGTGAAAGGCAAAGGAGAAAAGGAAAGATATATCCATCTGAATGCAGAGTTCCAAAGAATAGCAAGGAGAGATAAGAAACCCTTTCTAAATGATCAATGCAAAGAAATAGAGGAAAGCAATAGAATGGGAAAGACTAGAGATCTCTTCAAGAAAATCAAAGATAGCAAGGAAACTTTTCATGCCAAGATGAGCTTAATAAAGGACAGAAATGGTATGGACCTAACAGAAGCAGAAGATAATAAGAAGAGGTGGCAAGAATACACAGAAGAACAATACAAGAAAGATTTTAATGACCCAGATAACCACCATCAATCACCTAGAGCCAGACATCCTGGAGTGTGAAGTCAAGTGGGCCTTGGGAAGCATCACTATGAACAAAGCTAGTGGAGGTGATGGAATTCCAGTTGAGCTATTTCAAATCCTAAAAGATGATGCTGTGAAAGTGCTGCACTCAATATGCCAGCAAATTTGGAAAACTCAGCAATGCTCACAAGACTGGAAAAGGTCAGTTTTCATGCCAACCCAAAGAAAGGCAATGCCAAAGAATGTTCAAACTACCACACAATTGCACTCATCTCACACGCTAGCAAAGTAGTCCTAAAAATTCTCTAAGCTAGGCTTCAATAGTATGTGAACTGAGAACTTCCAGATGTTCAAGCTGGATTTAGAAAAGGCAGAGGAACCAGAAATCAAATTGCCAACATCCATTGGATCATAGAAAAAGCAAGAGAATTCCAGAAAAACATCTACTTCTGCTTCATTGACCATGATAAATAAAGCCTTTGACTGTGTAGATCACAAAAAACTGTGGAAAATTCTTCAAGAAATTGGAATACCAGACCACCTTACCTGCCTCCTGAGAAATTTGTATGCAGGTCAAGAAGCAAGAGTTAGAACTGGATGTGGAACAACAAACTGGTTCCAAATTGAGAAAGGAGTATGACAAGGCTGTTTATTGTCACCTGCTTATTTGCCTTCTATGCAGAGTACATCATGTGAAATGCCAGACTGGATAGAGCACAAGTTGGAATCAAGATTGCTGGGGGAAGTATCAATAACCTCAGATATGCAGATGACACCACCTTTATGGCAGAAAGTGAAGAGGAACTAAAGAGCCTCTTGATGAAAGTGAAAGAGGAGAGTGAAAAACCTGGCTGAAAACTCAACATTCAAAAAACTAAGATCATGGCATCGAAACAGTAAGAGACTTTATTTCCTTGGGCTCCAAAATCACTTCAGATGGTGACTGCAGCCATGAAATTAAAAGATGCTTGCTTCTTGGAAGAAAAGCTATGACCAACCTAGACAGCACATTAAAAGGTAGAGACATTACTGTACCGACAAAGGTCTGTCTAGTCAACGCTATGGTTTTTCCAATAGTCATGTATGGAAGTGAGAGTTGGACCATAAAGAAAGCTGAGTGCTGAAGAATTGATGCTTTTGAACTCTGGAGTTGAAGAAGACTCTTGAGAATCTCTTGGACAGCAAGTGGATAAAACCAGTCAATTCTAAAGGAAATCAGTCCTGAATATTCATTGGAAGGACTGATGATGAAGCTGAAGCTCCAATACTTTGACCACCTGATGGGAAGAACTGGCTCATTAGAAAAGACCCTGATGCTGGGAAAGATTGAAAGCAGGAGAAGGGGATGACAAATGATGAGATGGTTGGATGCCATCACTGACTGGATGGACATGAGTTTGAGCAAGCTCCAGGAGTTGGTGATGAACAGGTAAGCCTGGTGTGCTACAATCCATAGGACCGAAAAGGGTCGGATAAGACTGAGCGACTGAACTGAACTGAACTGAGTGCTGCGGCAGGTGGCCCAGGATGGAGGAAGGACAGAGGAGCCAGACTGGGGGCTGGGGGCGGCGGGTGACCTAGGACTGGACTGGAAGATGGAGCCTGCCCCTCTGCCTTCCCGCCTTCCGGCCACTCATTCATTCTTTCCTGAACAGTCATGGAGCTCTCAATTCACCTCGCCCTGGAGGAACTGACTGGGTCCCAAGAAGGAGAAGGAGGACAGGAGACTGACACCCAGCCCGCCCCGCCCCACCAGGCTTTCAGGGCGCAGGGGTGGGGCGGCCGGCGCAGGCGGAAGCCAGGCGCTTGGGGGCGCGGACGTTCTGTGCGACTTTTGGGGACAGCATTTAGCCTCCCTTCAGCCAGGTAAGCGCTCCCGCAGCGGTCTTGGCTGCCCTCCTCCATGGGGCCTTCCCTGTCCTCAACTTGCCGGGCCTGGAGCCCCCGGCCTGCTACCCTCGGGGCCCGACTTCACCCTTGCCTGGGAAGGGCTTAACTTTGGTGAGTCAGTGTCCACGCTTCGGTTCCCACAGCTCCTGGCCGAGGCAGTGGGAGGGGCCAGGGGCGGGGCCAGGCTGATCTCTGCCTGGCGCTCATCCCACGACCCGCTCAGGGCCCAGAGCCTCCGAGGCGCGGCGGGAGCTCGGCTGGTGCTGGCCGGCCGCTCCGAGGGCTCCCGCGGCCCGAGGTCGCCCGTGCTCGGAGTTCTTCCGCCGCCCGAGACCTCGCTCTGGCCGCGGTCTCTAGCGCCCCAAGATCTCCCGGGCGGGCCAAGATCTCCGCCCCCACCATGCGGCCGAGGAGGTGAGTGTGTCCGCGGCCGCGTCCTGTAGGTTCGCGGGAAGGAGCGGAGGCGGCGCGGCGCCGGGGAGCTAAGTTCTCTCCGGGGACCGGTCGCCTGACGGGGCAGCGGAGGCGGGGCGGCCTCGGGCAGGGCCGCGGCAGGTGCGGTTACCTGCGGGCGGGAGGGCAGCGAAAGACGGTGGCCTTGCGCGGGTGTGTGCTCGGGCCAGGTCCCCGCCGAGGGAGGGAGAGCGGAGAGCTGAAAAGACGCAGCGACCCACGCTTACTTCCCCCCTTGCCCTCCCCTGTCCCAGCGGTTACCCAGAGGAAAGACGGGCGTGACCGCGCTGTGCCAAAGTCGCTCGCTCATTTACCTCCAATGCGGGCTGGTACCCACCGCCCCCAAAGCCTGGGTTGCCCCCCACTACCCGCCCCCTGCTCCCACCCCCCCCACCCCCACCTTTTGGCCAAAACGCTGCCTTCAGGGAAGTCTTAGGGTAGGCAGCCTGTGCCCCACTTGATGAGCTGGTGCGGTATCCAATCCCCAGGTGTCCCACCACACAACCCAGAAGACCCACCGCGGGCACCCCCCCACCACCGTCCCGTCGGTCCCACCACTTAGTCTCCCTAGTTAGAAATGCAGGTAAAGATTATCCCCTCAAGAAAGGAAAGTAAAAGTACTGGGATGTCACAGCCACCAGTCACCATGCCCCTGAGCAGGTAGCCCTGTGTGTGCTTTCTCCTATCTGACCCAGGGAGCTGTGGGCTGGGGCGGGGCAAGGAGGTGACAGGTGAGGCAGGGGGCACAGCTGGGGTGTGCAGGGTGCAGAGGTTCCCAGACTGAAGGTCCCAGGAGCCTGGGAGTGCTGAGACACATCTGCTGGCCCCCAGGGCTGAGCAGCCCACGGGCTGGGGTGGAGCCACCAGATCTGGCTCCAGATTGACTGTGTTCCTTCAGAAGGTTGTCCTGGGGCTGCTCTGACCTTGCCTGGAGGCAAGCATCTTACATCCTCTCTGTCTCTCAAATCTCAGATGCCAGGAAAGTGTTTTTTTCTGATTTTATACAGTTTCTTGGACCCCATCCATGAGAAGTCACACTCCCCAGGGTCTGGTGACCCATCTCGATAGCCTTTATCACACTCTCAGAATTGCTCTGAAGGGTGTTCTGTTAACACAGAGCTGGTCTCTGGCAGGGGGTTGCCATGCTGGGCAGGGAGGCTACGGCCCTGGCTCCTCTCCCTGAGTTCCTGGCTGCCCCCGGGACCCTGGGCTGATGGGCTGGCTGGTTGTGGATGTATTCCCATTTGGATGATGTGTAACCGGCTCTCGCCTAGTCTGGAAGAAGCGGGACTCACCTGGCTTTCTGGTTGTTTCTTCCCAGTCCTGGACTGCTCCTGCTGCTGCTCTGGGGTCTGCAAGCCGGTAAGTGCAGGAGGCGCTCTTGGGGAGGCTTCCCAGCTCTTCAGTGTGGAGCAGTAGGACCGGGGGTGGAGGCAGGTGTCAGTGGGGTCCTCACCACAGGCCTGCCTGCTTTTCCAGGGGTCCTTATGAGAAAGCTGGGCCCCCAAGCCTGGAGTAATGTGTGGGACTGACTGCACACTAAGGGGAGCGCTCCACCAGCCCCCAAAGTTTCATTTTGTTTCATGTTTGGGGCAGGCACTGTGCAGTTCCCCCCAAGTGTTTCAGAACCTCCACTTCCCAGAGGAGCCAGGAGCTGGGCTTCCTGTTTCTTGCAGTCCCCGTGCTCCCCAAAGCCACCAGCATCCAGGAGAGCACAAAACGGGGTGCGGCACCCCAGTGGAGACCGAGGCCTTGTCTGGTCTTCCAGCCCACAGAGGAACGGGTCAGGGCACATGGCCACTTTCCCTGCTGGCGTTCCTATGGTTGGAACACCCCGGAGCCTTGCTGGGCTTTCACTGATGGAGCACGAGCAGCATCACAGTGATTTGAGAAGCTGATGCTTTCTTTCAAAATGTCTAAATTTTTTTTTTAACTTTTTATTTTGAATTCGTTATAAAAATCCCAAGAAGTAGCAGAAACCGTGAGGAGCAGTCCCGGTGCCCCAGGGCCTGATCCTCCCAAGGCTGGCCTCCCACCTGATCACAGGAAACCAGGCCCAGCCCTGCAGTTCACCGCCAGGGTCCAAATGTTTAAGAAACTTCGGCTTCCTTATGTGCTTCTTATTAACACATTCCTTTCCCACCGACATGAGTCACAATTGGAATTTGAGTCTTGCAACTCAGCAGCTCCCCCCCCCACCGCCCCCCATAGGGTGCCCTCAAAGTTGGGGACCAGGTGCGGAAGATGACTTCTGTTCTCTGTGGGTGGTTGCAGAGAGTCAAGAAGAAGTGCGAGCGATGGTGGGCAGCGACGTCCGGCTCCGCTGCATTTACCCTGAAGAAAACAGCTTCGATTTAAACGACCTTTATGTCTACTGGCAAATCAGCATGGCGGGCAAAGGGAATGCCGACTCCGTGGTGACCTACTACCTGTCCGGAAACGACTCTGCCGACCACAGTGACAACCACTACAAGGACCGGGCCCAGCTGTCCTTGGACAGCATGAAGCGGGGCGATTTCTCTCTGCATCTGCGCAACATCACCCCCCAGGACGAGCAGAAGTTCATCTGCCTGGTGTTTCAGATATCCTTGCAATTAAAAAAGATTTTGGAAGTTACGGTCACGCTGCATGTGGCAGGTAAGACAGAGGAGGCTGCCGAGCTGATTTCATCCCAGCCTTATGTCCCGGAAGAAGTGCCAGTGAGACCCATTTCCTGTGGCTCTTTCACCTGTGTGTTCCCTTAAAGAAAACCCCGATCCCTCTGTGGTTTGGTGTTTAACTGTGTGTACAGCGGAGGGGAGCAAAGATCATTCAACTCCTGAGACTGTTTTCCAGTATCCGAGGCTGCCTACTTCCATATGGGAGCTCCCCATCTTGCTGTCTTTGCCTTGAACTCTCCAGCTCAATCCAGTCTAGACTCTTTTACATTATTCACTTATTTATTTTTGGCTGCACTAGATCTTCATCGCTGCATGCGAGCTTTCTGTAGTTGTGGCAAACAGCATACTCTCTAGGTGTGGTGTGCAGCTTCTTATTTTGGTGGCTTCTCCTGTTGTGGAGCACCGGTTCTAGGGCATGTGGGCCCAGTACTTGCAGCTCAATGGTGGGCTCCAAGCTCTCGAGCACAGGCTTAGTAGCTGTGGTTCACAGGCTGAGTTACTGTGCAGCATGTGGGATTCTCCCTGATCAGGGATCGAACCTGCGTCTCCTAGAATGGCAGGCAGATTCTTTACCACTGAGCTGCCAAGGAAGCCCCCCAAACTAGGTTTTTTGATGAACCAGTGCTGTAAGGCACTAAATGAGGTCAGGAGAGTCAGAAGATGAAAGCGTCTTCAGCAGGCTGCTCGGGGCATCATTCAGTGGACATGGGGGATCGGGACTCAAATGAGGCCAGCCCTATTGGGGCAGGAAGTGGGCACCGGTCACTGCTCACCAGACTCAGTAGCCCCCTTATTGACCTGGGGGGTGGCTCTTGTGCAGAACGAAGCCTTGTTGCTGACGAGATCACACTTTTGGTCCTGCCCCTGCTCCAGCATCACAGGCTCAATGGCTGCCTCCCCCCTGCTCTGGCCCTTGGCATGTGTCCCCCCTTTTCTGACCTTCAGGACCTGGCACCCCTCAGCCCATTTCTCTCCCTGCAGCAAACTACAGCATGCCCGTGGTCAGTGGCCCATCCCAGGACGAGGAGCTCACCTTCACGTGCACGTCCACCAATGGCTACCCCCGGCCCAATGTGTACTGGATCAACAAGACGGACAACAGCGTGCTGGATGATGCCCTGCACAACAGCACGGTGTCCCTGAACGCACGGGGCCTGTATGATGTGGTCAGTGTCCTGAGAATCAGGCGAACCCGCCATGTCAACGTGGGCTGCTGCATTGAGAATGTGCTGCTGCACCAGAACCTGACGAGCGGCCAGACAGGTGAGGTCCCAGGGGCCCCCACGGGGCTGCATGCTGACCCCACCCCAAGGCCGGGCCGGGAGTGACTGGGCAGGAGACAGAGCCCCTGTGAGGAGACTGGGCAGCGGCGTCAGAGGTGGGGCAGGGAGGGGAGGTGAGAGTGTCACCATGCTGAGGGCAGGATCTGGCTGGTGCTCGGGGTCAGTTTTGGTGACCCATTTCACAGATAGGGGACTGAGGCTCTGAAAATCTCAGAAGCCCCAGAACGAGGCAGCAGCAGCACTGGGATGGAAGCCCCATCCAGCATGGCTCCCTTCCACATTCTTTGGACATGTGCCCACTAAGAAGCAAGAACAACTCCTCCACCAGCGGGTCCGGCTGGGCCCAGCCACCGCACACAGCCCCCCATGGAAGGGTGAGGGCGGGTGACTCCTTTGTAGAAGCCATAGGCTCTCTGGGTCTGTGAGTCCCTGTCAGCAGGGTTGAGATGCTGGAGAAGGAGGGCGGGAGCTGGGGGATGGGGTCCAAGCCTGCCTGGTACCGAGAAGCACCCTGGCTGCCGGGAGGGTCTGGCTCGGGCATTCTCCTGGAATACAGGTGCAGCCCTGTGACTCAGCAGTCGCAGTCCTCTGGCTGCACCAAAGGCCTCCTCTGACTCTGTGTCCCAGCAGGATAGTCGGAGTCAGGGGAGAGGGTATAGGAGGAGAGCAGGAGGGTCTCCTGGGGTCGTGGTCTCAGCCTGGCTGCTCTGGGGAACACCTGGGAACCCCTGTCCCTCCTCACCGCTTGCCCACACCCTCTGAATCAGCACCTCTGGGCTAACTGGGCGTCAGGATGTGTTGAAAAGCTTCCGGGTAATTCTAAGGCACATGGGGGGCCTTGCCACCGTCTGGGTTTGTAGCTTCTCCAGGTTTGGGGAAACATGGGGCACTTGTCACAAGCTGCCTGGGGAGGGTGTTGCTTGTCTGCCCCTGAGAACCGCACCCCAGGAGGCATCATGGTGGGACACTGGGACAGGGGGGCTGGTCCGCTCCTGCACTTCCAGCAGATTCAGAGTGGTGCAACAGCCATGGAAAACAGTCTGTTGGTTCCTCAAGAAGCTAAACACAGGATTAGAATGTGACCCAGCAGTTCCAAGAGCTCTGGAAGCGAGACTCAGACAAATACTTGTACGTGAATGTTCACAGGAGCTTATTCACAGTAACCAAAAGGTGGGGATGCCCGAGAGTCCACAGGTGGACGAAGGGGTGAGCACAGAGTGTCCAACCACAAGGTATAGCATTACTCAGCCACGAAAAGGAGTGACGCTCTGAGCATGCTACAGCATGGATAAGCCATGCAAATGATGCTCAGTGGGAGAAGTCACACACAACAGTCCTTACAGCGAATGACTCCACTGATACAAAATGTCCAGAATAGGTAAACCCAAACAGACAGGAAGTAGATTAGAGTTTGCCGGGGGCTGAGGGAGGGAAGGGCTTCCCAGGTGGTGCAGTGCTAATGCAGCAGAACCAGAAGACTCAGGTTCAACCCCTGGGTCAGGAAGATCCCTTGAAAAAGGAAATGGCAACCCACTCCAGTATTCTTGCCTAGAGAATTTCATGGACAGAGGAGCCTGCAGGCTATAGTCCACGGGGTTGCAAAAAGTCAGACACGACTTAGTGACTGAACACGCATGCGGCCCCGGGGAGGGGGTGGGGAGTGACTGCTGGTGGGCAGAGGGTTTCCCTTTGTGGCGTGAAAAGTTCTGGAATCAGATAACAGCTATGGCTTCATGAACTTGTTAATTAGTAAACACCACTGAATGGTTATAAAATGGTTAATTTTATGTTATGTGAATTTCACCATCTTTTTTTTTAAGCCAGCAATTAAGCTAGAAAGAATTAAAGTTTAAAAAGCCAGGAAGATTATGCTTCCCTCCACACCATCCCCAGGTGTGAACCTCTACGAATCACTGGGGTTACAGGTCTCACAGGTGGGCTGAGGAGAAGGGGCATCCCAAGAAGAGATGAAGACTCACCTGAAAGAGGAAACCTTTGTCTCCATCAGCTTTATGGCTTAAAAACAACGAAGTACCTCTAGGAAGTCTTGTTGGATCAGTGCTTCTCTTCGAGCCCAGTCCTTCAGGATGAAAAAACCCCCTTTTCCTCCCCATCTATAAGCCCTGTGTGATTTTCTCTCCTGCAGAAACATTCACAGGAACCAAGGACAGCATCACAGAGGACCCAATCGATGGCAGCCACGGGGGAGAACCTCGGCCGGTTCTTAGCGTCCTTGTCGTGCTGGCCGTGATCGTGGCCCTGGCTCTAGCCATAGGCTGGCTGTGTAGGAGCAGGTGTCCGCCCAGAAGCTACACAGGTATGGGGAAGCCTGTGCTGTGGACAGCGCACGTTTGTGTTGTTGGGGTGTGGGGCCTTTCCCAAGATGTTTACAAGCTCCGAGAGGTGTCACTTTCACGGGACATGCAGTTTAACCGTGCTAACGAGCGTGAGCATGGTAGCCGCAGCACCCTCCTGGGTGTGATCTCAGCCTCCGAGATCCTGACACTGCCCGCCCCCGAAGAGAAGGCCAGTCTCCTGGGTTTGGGGGAGGACGGTGGACTCTACTAATGTGGAGGTCAGGTGGAAGGAGCTGCCTTCCAGTCCCTTCAAGGCCTTCTGTCAGTTCTGGCCCACTCAGACAGATACAGAAAGTCTGGGGTTTGACTACGTAAAACAAAGAAGCAGAGCTCACAGTGGGAGCAGGAAAGCCAGGAGTGTGGACCTTGGAAGAACCAGGGGTCAGAGAGAGGGGCTGAGGGCTGGCCTAGGCCCAGCACAGTCTCCCCAGGGCAGCCTGGAGGTGGAGGTCAGCAGACATCCCCGAAGGTCCTATTAAGAGTCAAGACTTGCCGAGACCCCCCGGAGAGCGAGGAAGGGGAGCGTGGCTGGACTCAGGACACAGCCCATGGTGGGAAGCCCGCCTGACGAGAGGGGTTTCCACCTGCGGCCCTGGGGTGTCCCTCTGACTGCCAGCTTCCAGCTCCTAGAGATGTCGCCTGGCGCCCTGGAACCCTCATGGCCTCAAGGCCATGAAAGCTCTCAAACCGCTCCAGGTGCTTCCCACCTGACCTCCTACAAAGTCTCGTCCTGGGACTCAGGGTGGCCTGAGGATCCCCTCAGGAAGCCGGAGGAGGGCTGAGTCGTGGGCTACTGAGCATGGGGCCCCTGGAGTCTTCAGAGAGGCTTTGCTTCACTACCCCACCCTGAGCATTTATGATTAATTCCCACAGGTGCCCAGGTTGCAAGGCCGGAGCTGGCGCTCACGGGTGAGTTTGCTGGGAGGGAAGGAGAAGCGTGGAGGAAGCTCGGGTCACACAGGCAGGGTGGCTGGGCACTTGGCTCTCTGCACGAGTGTGGCTCAATGACCAGGAAATAGGTGCCTCCAGTGCACAGCTGGTGAAACTCCGAGTGGAGGCCTTCCCTCCTGGCGTGCTGCCCTGCCCTCTGCTGACTCTGGGATTTTCCAAATGTCCGCAGAAGCAGAGAGCCTGGAGCATGATGCCCACCCCCACACACCCTGTCTCCATTCCCCTGATCTCCCTCCATCACAGCCCTCGGGGATGGGCTCTCCGGCAAGTCCAGACCCTTTGTGCAGACGAACACCTCACAGTTCCCATGCAAACGTCACATGATTCCCTCCCCGCTTTGGGAAATTATCGCACACAGGGCCTTTGGTTTCGGTTTCCCACTGGCAGATGCCTTGGGCTGCCAGGGCCTTTGGGGTCCCGCCAGCCGGCTCCATGCCTGAAGCCAGTGTCCTCACCTCTCTGAACCCCATTCCCCCCCACCGCCCTTGAGAAGGGTCAGGGGAGGGTGACCACGACCCACACGACGTGCCTGCCCACCTGTTTACCCAGGTGATTCCTGGCCCGCGGCTGCTGGTGCCGCAGCAGATTCACTCCCGAGGCCTGTCCCCGAGGCCCATCCTGGAGGATGCGGGACACAGCTTGCTAAGGAATCCGGGCCCGCAGACCTGAGAGTCTGGTGTGCACTGCCTGCAGGCGTTCTCAACCCTGTTTTCACTGTGCTGGGCCCTGAGAAGACCAGTCTCTGCCACTAAAATGAGAATGAGTGGACTCCATGCTCACGCCCTCTCCCCTCTTTCCTTCCAAGAGCACGTGTGATGAGGGACCCCCCCACCCCAAGACGAGGGCTCCCAGGAGATGCCCAGCTGGGACGTCAGATGGCAGCTTGAGAACTGACTCGGACAGGCCGGGCAGAGGGGACCATCTGCGCCAGAAGCTCGGAGCTGCATGGACACTGGCCTCCTGGCATCGGGGGGACATGAAAGGCACTCCTGGAAGGACCACACTGATCCCGGGAGCATGTGCCAGCTGCTGACCCGATCCCAATGAACCTTTCAAAAGTTTGGCATGGTGGCTCCCCGGGGTTACACATGCCCCCAAGTAGGTGGGCCCCCCACCTTTGCTGCCAAACACAGAGTAAGAGAAGGGCTGTGACAGCCCCTTCCTGCCACCAGCCTTGGACCCGACTCGCTGTGGGATGAACTCCTGAGGCTGGAGGAAGAATGTCTGGTTCAGGAAGAGGTGTGCGGGTGCCCTCTGTTCCAGATGACCCGTGCTGGGCAGTGGTCGCTCGAGGTGCAGCAGCCACTCTCTGGGTCTGCGTGTGAGGCTCCCAGCCCACCCCCAGCCCAATGGCCCCATATCTGTGTGCGTGTCCTGAAGCACAAAACAGGAAACACTGGAAACCCAAATTCACGTCTCTCCAGGATTCTCACTGGGAGGAAAACCTGACCTCCTTTGTTTTGGTCAGAAGCTAGGTTTCCCTCCTCAAAAGCACGTGGAATTTTAGAAGCTCTGTGCTGGGTGGAGCAGCTGGACACGGCAGCCCAGGGCTTGGACTCTGCTGCAGGGGACACTTGGGCAGATCTGGGATAAGCATTTCCGGTGAACACCAATGTGGACAGGTGACCATCATGGTCCTTCACAGTGGGGCCACGAGTGGACAGAGGGTGACCTCCTGGCCACGGCAGCTTTACTTCAAACACAGCAGATTCCCTCAAATCTCGCTGGGCAACCCCTGCCGGCCCCACACCATTGCCTGTGCCCCCACCTGCCTCCCCTGAGGACCTGCAGGGTCATGACAGCAACCTTGCCTCACCCAGGGGGTCCCCCAGCCCACCAGGCCTGCTGGGCGGCCTGATGCCCTGCCCCCACCCAGGTGGTTTCCACATTAATTCCGGGATTGCATCCAGTAGTTCAGTGTTTCCAGCAGGTTCTGTGATGGAGTCAGCCAGATCGCCTGGTGGGCGCCACCTCCCCCCCACCACAAGAAATGGGGCTGTCGCCCTGTGATTATTCAGCACCCACGGGCATGTGAGACCTGCGCCTCCCAGACCCAGACTCGCAGCAAACTCAACAAGGCGGCTTGGGGTGGACCCTGAGCCAACAGTGTTTCAAGGATCCTGCGTGTGTTTGTACCAAAAGCCCTCACATGGCCTGTATATGACTGTGATGTGGGATCCACAGAGATTTTTAATATGAAAGCATTAGAAGACATGTGTGGTTCCCCAGAGAATGACAGAAAGGTGACTCATGACATCTCGAGCAAGAAGCCCAAGTGGCAGGCGGGGGTGGGCAGGTGGGAGCAGCCGAGTGGATACGGGCAGGTGGGCGTGGCCAGTCCACAGTGACTGTGCTGTGATGCCAGGACAGGTACCCAGGAGGGCTGTTCCACCACCCTGCCAGAGGCCCGGGGCCTGCAGACCCTGAGCAGCCCCTGGTGGGGGGGTGGGGTGGGGGTGGTGTCTCAGCAGCTGCAGGGGGACCGAGTCTGGTTCCAGCTTTCCAGCCAGAAGTAGTTTCCTTCTCGGGGAAGTGGCAGGGCTGGCTCTCCGGCTCGGACCCCCTTGACACCCTGGCCCGGGAGACTTGCATGTGAGCTCTGCCTTGGCCCTGGCCTTCCCGAAGCTGAGGACACGCCCTCCAGGCTCCGTGCCAGAGTTGCCATCTTCCAGACCTCTGGGGCTACAGCAGTGCCCGCTCTGTCCAGCTCGCACAGGTCACCCCCGGCCAGTTCACCCTGAGCCTTTGCTTGCGTCTCATGCTGTGTTATGGATAGCGTGTGAGTGCCGAGTTTTGACATTTTTGGAAGCCTGGTTCCAGAGAATATAAGCTATTGACATGCCTGGGTTCAGTCACTTTGGTCAGCATCTGGACCAACTCAGTCTGCTTGGTCAGTCCTGATTGTGGTGGGGGACCTGGCCCCTGTCCCTCCAGAGTGGCCCCATCTCCCGGGGGACATGGATCAGTGTGGAGGCATTTGGTCACTCTTGGGGGTTCCTACTGACAGTGGGACACTTCTAAACGTCCCACACAAATGGGGTCCTGCCCAGAGGTCAGTAGCCAAGATTGAGGATTCCCGTGTCACCTTTCCCTGGAAGGCAGGACAGCAGAGCTGCTGTCGGGGTCCCCACCTGCATTGGGTCCAGGAGAGGTGACTGACGGTTCACCGGGGAACATTCCAAGTCAGGGGCTGGGCAAGAGTCCAGGGTGCTGGCGTTGCCGTGGGTGGAGGCCACAGGCTGCAGGAGTCTGGTCTCTGGGAGCCTGTGGCCCCTGCCCCCTCTGCCCTGCACACAGTGGACGCGCAGTGAACACCTGTCAGGAAGGTAGAGCCCGCTGGCAGGGGGAGGCTCATCGAGAGGGCAGGGGGCAGGAGGGAAGCCGCGTCACCAGCACGCCCCAGTTTCCCTTCCCAGAAGGCAGGCAGCTAGAGCCTGGTTCTGCCTCCCCGGGCCCGGTAGCTCGGACGCTCCCCGTGACTGCAGCCCCCACTCTGGGGAGGGCAGCTGGGGCACTGGAGACCGTCAGGAGAGGGCCGCCCTGCTCTGCCAGTGCCCGTGAGGCCCTGGTGCTATGATGCTGGTCGCTGGTTGGGCCGGAAGCTGGCAGGCGGCTCAGGACAGTGCCCGGGCCAAGCAGGCATATCCTGTCTGCATCTGCTTCCAGGCCCCAGCTTCTCAGAAAGAGGCCGTTTCCAGCCAGAAGGCACTGACCTGGGACCATTCTCTTCTTGGTGACTGATGCCCCATCCCCACACTGGCCCAGCCAGCCCAAAGATGGTCTGGGGCTGGAGGGGGCAGTCTACCCCCCCCAGTGTGGCCAGCCCTGTGTTCCCACCCTCATCAGGCCCACCGGCCACCGCTAACCGCCCGTCTGCTACATTCCTGAATGTTCTCCAGCCTTGACCCGGCACCCGCCCCACCACCGTCCCCAGCTGCCCAGGTCTCCTTCCTGACTCCTGAGTCCCATGGGGAGCATTGCTAGCAAACATGTCATTTTTCCTTGAATCTGTGTTGATCCTGCCGTCATCAGGGAGAAGTGAGAAGCTGGGCTTTCGTCACAGGGCCAGCGTAGGGCAGCTCCAGTGGGGTGAGGGTGTGGAAGGCTGGACCTTGTCCAGGATCTTTAATGTCAGGAATTCAGGGGCTTGTCTCAGTGCCCCCTGGGCTCAGCCTGAGCTCCGGGGAGGAGGCTTCTGCCGCTGCCGCTGTTGGGAGGGCATAGTGCACACTTCCTGGGGGCTGGGGGGTGGGGGCTTGGGTCCCCACGGGACCCCCACGAGCAGGCCCCAAAACCCAGGAGCTGTGCAGGCCCTGGACAGCACCCCCGTGTCAGGAACAGAACCACAGGCACACCACCTTCGACGTCGCCTAAGGACCCGGATAGGTCTGGGTCTTGGGGGGGTGACCCCAGGGCAGGAACTGGCCAGGCTCCTCCTCCCCTCCCCTGCCGCCCTCCCTCCTCACGTGCTCCAGTGTCCTGGGGCCTGAGCTCACCCTGCCCAGGCCCCCGAGGCTGCTGGGAGTGGGCCGACCAGGAGGGGGTGGGTCACTGCCACACCAGGGCCCAGGCAGAGGGCTGTGATCAGAGAGGCAGGAGAGGACGCGGGGCACAGCTGGTCCACAGACAGCGCGGCTGGGCACGTGTGGTTCAGGTACCCCGTGCACTTCCCCATGGGCTCCCGGCAGATCCAGGGCAGGACCCCTCACCCGAACCCAGAAAGTGACACCATGATTTGGCTAAAATGCAGCCTGAGAGGGCTACTGGGCCCAGACCCAGGGGACCCGACAGGCAGGACCTCTGTGCAGGGTCTGCCTCCTCTGGGGCGAGGGTGGCGGGACTCACCCACACTGTGAGTCAATGAGCTCCCAGGAGGGGACCCGGGCATCTTGAACAGCAGATGTCCGCTCTCTCTGGATCTAGAGGCCAGAGTCCAAGATGAAGGTGTGGGCAGGACTGGTTCCCTGACCTTTCTGTGTCTCCTGCAGCTTCCAGAGCCTGCAGGTGACCTCTGGCACAGCCCACAGCCCTGTCTCTGGCGCTCTCCTCTCCTTACAGGGACACGGGTCACTGCATTAAGGGCCACCCTACCCAGGGTGACCCCATCTTCACTAGTGACCTCGGCTGAGACCATTTCCCAATGAGGTTCCCTGACATGAATTTGGGGGGCCCTGTGCAACTCCAGGGAAGATCCCCTGGGGGAGGGCATGGCAACCCTCTCCAGTATTCTTGCCTGGAATGTCCCAAGGACAGAGGAGCCTGACAGACTACAGTCCGTGGGGTCACAGAGTCGGACATCACTGAGGCAGCTGCGCATTTCCAAGCAACTCACTACAGCTCTCAGGAGGAGGAGAGAGAAAGATGGAGCAATGGGGAGGGGACGCCAGGGGGTTTGGGAGCGGGCAGAGACTGAGCAGAGGAGAGGGCCAAGGTCGGACCCAGTGGCCGCCGTCCTTTCCGCCTGTGATGACTGCACCCTCTAGGCCCTCTTCACGCCTCGCCTGCAAGGAGCACCTGCAGGAGCTGGGCCCAGTGGGTGAACACCGGCCCCCACTCTCGTGCCTATTGGAATTCTGTCCCTGCAGGAGCACCTCGTGGGGTGTCACAGGGGGACCCGCAAGTCCCTCTGCAGGGCGCTGGCCCTGG